GAAGTTTATAAAAAGATGTCATCATCATTTTCTTTATTTATTTGCAATACATATTTTATTTAATTTTTCAAACAGTTTTCTGTTTTATGCTGACAAATAAACTACACCAATTTGCAACCACATGACTCCAAAATACACTAATGGACTGAAAACCAAATCCAGATACTTAATTTGCAAATGAATGGAAGCACAATTATTGCCATTTGAAAACGATGTTCTTAGATATGTTTTAATCTCTTTAAAAATATGCCAAACAGAGTTTATCCAAAAGCAAAACTTATGTGGATAACGTCAAAAGCAAAAATATTTTTTCCATCAAATATACTTATCTTTTAAACCAAATTCAAAATAATTCAATTGAAAAACCATCTGTTTTTTCACTATGCCATTGAGTCCTTTTTTCTGTCCTACTCATTCTAAAGTATCTAGCCCTTCGATAAATCACTACCCTAAAAGATATATTACCCCATCCTGCCAAAATAATCAATCCAAAAGAAAATTAGTCCGAGACCAAATGCAAGTTATCTGACTGAGGAATCAAATTCAAATGTCAAATGCAAGCAGTAGCAGCAGGTCAGCAGCCACTAAATAGCCAGCATAGCTGAAAGGTACCTATCAACAACGAAAAACTACTACACTAATCCATTCATTTGCAATTAAGTCCTTTTTTATTGCAATCATTCAGATTGTGTTTATTATTATCATTATCATTCAAGAAAGTCCTGATTCCAGAATAACAGCTAAGAGCTCTACGGATTGTTTTAAAATAAAAAAAAAAACTTAAAAATAAATAAAAACAGTAAAAGGATATGTGAATGGGTTCCAAAGAACCTTCTGTATAAATATTTTTATAAATAATTTTTTGTGTATGTTAATTTTATATTTCATAAAATATAATAGTTTCATTATTTTATGGTTTTAAATTTTGGGATTTAATGGTTTTAAACGTTGTACATTTTTTTGTATATATAACTATTTGGAAAACTAATATATATTTTGTATTCAGTAATTTTAATTCTTATTTCAACAAGCAGTAAGTAAATTAATGAAAAATAATAAAAACTCTTCTCTCTCTAGGTTGTATCTTGGAGTCTAGCGCACTTTATCCAAACCTTGGAGAAGTCCGAGCTACTCAGAATGTAGCGTGGAGAGATAGAGCTCGTTGTGACGTCGCTCAGATAAAATTTGTGCTACGAAACCACCGAAAAATTAACATTGACGTACCACGACCTGACTATAATTTTCAAACAACGCTAATAATGATAATAATAATAGTAATAATAATAATAATAATAATAATAATAATAATAATAATAATAATAATAATAATAATAATAATAATAATAATAATAATAATAATAATAATAATAATAATAATAATAATAATAATAATAATAATAATAATAATAATAATAATAATAATAATAATAATAATAATAATAATAATAATAATAATAATAATAATAATAATAATAATAATAATAATAATAATAATAATAATAATAATAATAATAATAATAATAATAATAATAATAATAATAATAATAATAATAATAATAATAATAATAATAATAATAATAATAATAATAATAATAATAATAATAATAATAATAATAATAATAATAATAATAATAATAATAATAAATGCTTTTATTGGCCAAACTAAGTACCTGATACAAAGAAAAAAAAAATATATAAATACAAATAGTTTGCCAAATGGCAGAGTTCAAAATCTCTGATAAAAATCAGAGTTTTGCTCTTCCACTCAACCAGTATTATGATAGACATACCTATACATCTTTCGATGTATAGATGTGCCCTGCATGTTCACTTAATAATTATTCAATCTAGAGCACAATATGGCTTTACGAATATGAGAGAAAAAATATTGAAAACCCAAAACCGTAAACAACTTAACATCTTAACTTAAAAAATAAAAAAATAAAAATCAGCCAGATGAGTAAGAACCAGTAAGTATATCAATAATAATATTACAATAATACTAATATAATAAAAACGAATATAAAATTTAAATTTATCTAAAAACTATAACTATCGACCTACAGAATTTATTAGTAATTTTCTATCTAGCATTACATTTTTTAATTTATACTTGAATAATATATGATCTGTGAATAATTTCAAGTCATCGGGTAACCAGTTGTACAACTTAACAATGTTATAAGAAAAGCAGCCTTCAAACAAAACTGATTTATGTTTTGGCATAGTTAGACAACCTCTATTCCTTAAATTTAAATTATGGACGTCCGTTCTGAATCGAATTTTATTATATAAATAAGCTGGTGTTTCAGTAACTATAATTTTGTGATAAAGTAAGCATTCATGTAAAACTCGTCGTTCTGCTAAATTTAACCACTTCAATTCCTTTAAATATTTTGAAGTTGGTGTGCACCTTCTCAAACTATAAATAAGCCGAATACAACAATTTTGTCTGTAATCTTAATTGATCCCTTTTCAAAAGTCCAGGCCCAAATACTGCATCCCCGTAATTTAAGTGGGATAACACGAGTGCTTCACAAAGCATGATTTTTGTTTTTTAGTTAATACACCCCTGCTACCATATATTAGTTTTAGATTTGCAAAAGCTCTTCGAAGCATCATTGTGACATGAGTTGTAAAACGTAGATCGGAGTCAACCATCAAGCCTAGGTTTTTGACAGAGTTTATGATATTTAGCTCATCTCTTCCTACATTTATTTTTAATTTTCCGATACATCTATTTCTAAGAGCGCTTTTTCCAAAAAGTATGGCTACTGATTTAGTGCTATTAATTGAAAGACAAAATTTATTTGACATATTAATGAGAGACTCAATATCTTGATTGATCTGTTGGCAAGCAATATCGATGTTTTCCTCAGAAAATGTATGATACAATTGTGTATCGTCAGCATAAAAATGAGACGAGCAGAAATTTAGTTTTTTATAAAAATCTAATGTATAAATTATAAATAAAATAGGACCTAAAATGGATCCTTGCGGCACTCCATTGTTTACTTGTGAAAACACAGAAGAAGACGAATTATAAATTACAGCTTGTTGACGATTACTCAAATAATTACGAAATAAATTAACACAATTATTATCACAACCTATGTAATGCAAAATTGATAAGAGTAATTGGTGATTTATTCGATCAAAAGCTTTCGAATAATCTAACAAAATTAACGCGACCATTTTATTTTCATCCAAAGCATTATGAATATCATCAGTAACTTTTAACAAAGCTGTAGTACAACTGTGCAAATATCTGTAACCGGACTGATGAGGAGGTAAAATATTATTGGTGTTCAAAAAAGATATTAGTTGTTTATTGATTATTTTTTCAAAAGCTTTAGAAATTGCGCATAAAATACTAATTGGTCTCAGATCTTTAGGACTACTGAGATTTGACATTTTTGCCAATGGGATTACAAGAGCACGTTTCTACATAGCAGGGTAAACATTCTTAATTATGCAATAGTTAAAAATATGTGTCACGTAAGGTAATATGATTGGACAACAATGCAGCAACATTTCTATACTAATACTGTCTACACCTACAGCTTTGGATTTTATTGTTGTTGATGCCCAGAATACTTTCTCAAGAACTAGATAATGGCTTCAATGGGGATATGTGCATGATAGAAGCCTTAGAGATACCGTTTATTGTTTGGAAAATATTAGTATGATCGTAAAAGTGCCACCTTTTCTACAACGTGGCCAATCTCAGTTCAAAACGAAAGAAGTAAATGCTGCTTATAAGTTTTCTTCCTATGTTATATTAACCAGAGGAAATATAAACTATTATATAACAGCAATCATATGCGATACTTATAGAATCTCATATAGAATAAAAGTATTCCAAAAACTGCGCCCATTTTAGCTCAATGTTTAAGTTTTCTTAGAACAAAATTTGTTCTATAAAGACAAGCGAGGACGTCCTGTATTATCAGCACCCGAACCATTCTGTTCTCGCGAAAGTTTTGTGTAAATATTCCACACTTAATTGATTATCAAAATTGAAGTTGATGCTTGCACGCGGTTCGTCTTTAATAATGAAGGAGTATTTGTGTTGTGTTGAAAGTTTCATGCTTCCACTTCGGCAAGAAGGTAAAGCAGATTATTTTTGGTAAATTTCATTTATGGATTTCGACTAGATGCTTTTGTTATGCTGCGGTTATACTAGAAGCTCCTATCGAAAGGGAAATTGGTTTAAAACATGAAATAGTTGCAAAGGTTTTTAGATAAATCGAACAATTGTATTTTCTATTTTTAGAACTAGTTCTAGAGTTGGAGTATACTGAATAAGTACAACCAATTACAAATATTTTTAGCTATAAAAAAATACTAAAAAATTACTAAAAACCTAAAAAAACAGTGTAAACTTGGAAAACAACAATTTAAAATGTTAAACAATACATTTTTTACTTATTTAGTAGTTTGGCTCAAAAAAGTTCATTTTTTTACCTCATGGTGGCAGTCAACGTGTTAATAGATGTCGTGGCTTTGCTTATATGGAAATTATTAACTCATTGATTCGCATTTTAAATTATTTTTAATTTTTTCGTAATCAATGTAATTTTTTGTAACGTACCTAGATTTATTTCGTTCTGTATTATTTTTTAAATTATGTTTCATTTGAAGAATTATCGGATTGTGATCCGTGATTTTTGAATGCAACACCATTGGTTTTAGTTTTTTGGATTTTAAATGGGTAGTTTTAATAAATAAGTGATCTAAGCAAGTTTTAGAATTTTTTTCGATTCTTCTAAATTTATTTATTGTAGAAATAAAACCAAATTCATAAATATTTAAATAAACATTAGATTCTTCACTAGAAGTTAGGATTTCAATGTTTATAGCCCCTTCTATTATTTCTGTTTCTTCTAAGTGGGTGTCTTATAAATATTGACCAAGAGAATTTATGAAATCAGTTGTATTGTCTCACTTTTAAAGTTGAATCACTTGTTTGTTGTGGTTTCGTGGTTGTGAACGTTCAGTACCTACGCAAATATATAATGGCACCAACTAAGAACAATCTTAGTGCCGTTTTGTACGGTATCAATGACTTAAGATTAGAACAAAGGCCAATTCCAGTACCGAAAGATAACCAGGTCCTTCTTCAAATGGAAGTAGTGGGTATTTGCGGATCTGACGTTCACTACTTGGTCAGTGGAAGATGCCGTCCTTTCGTTGTTGAAAAACCCATGGTAATCGGCCACGAAACATCTGGAACAGTTATATAATTAGGAAAAGATGTAAAGAACCTGAAACTAGATGACAGAGTAGCTATCGAACCAGGAGTACCCTGTCGTCTGTGTCATTATTGTAAAACCGGTATCTACCATCTTTGCAAAGATATCTTATTCTGTGCAACTCCTCCAGATGATGCTAACCTATCAAGATATTACGTTCATGACGCAAAATTTTGTTGGAAGCTTCCTGACAATATGTCCCTTGAAGAAGGTGGCTTCATGGAACCTCTTTCAGTTGGAGTTCACGCTTGCAAAAGAGCAAATATCAAAATTGGAGGTGTCTGTTTGATTACAGGAGCTTGTCCAATTGGTCTTGTTACTTTCTTGTCCGCTAAAGCTATGAGTGATTTCAAAATTGTCATCACAGATGTACTTGATGTCAAATTGAAGATGGCTAAACAACTTGGAGCCGATTACACGTTGAAAATTGAGAAAAATATGACTGAATAACAAATCATAAAGAAAGTCCATGAACTACTTGGACAAGAACCCAACATCAGTTTTGACTGTACTGGAGTTGAATCCTGCGTTAGAGTTTGCGTTTCTTTTACTGGTTTGGCCGGTGTTATAGTTCTTGTAGGATTAGGCAAAATCGAAATGACCCTTCCATTGACCAAAGCCTTAATCAAAGAAGTTGATGTCAGGGGTGTGTTCAGATATTGCAACGACTATCCTACTTCAATCGAAATGGTATCATCCGGTAGAGTAAATGTGAAACCTTTGGTCACTCACCATTATACCTCAAGGCCTTCCACACAGCAAAGACTCAAGAAGGAGACCCCATCAAGGTCCTAATTCACGCCATTCCCAATTGGAAACTATCTTAAAATGTTTTGATATTGTTATTGTTGTATTTCGTTATTGAAATATGTGAAATTGTTGTATATCTTTTATATAAATTGTTACCCCCATCAGTTATGTTAATATTACTTTCACTATGAGTAGATGAAATCATTACCAGCAGATTATAATAGAATTATCAACTGATAAATATATCTTTTAGCGAATATTAAAAGTATTATAGGCAGACGTAGCCGAAGAGGTAAATATCGCTTAATATTTATTTCGCATTTATCAAATTGAACTGTTCCACGGGGAATCGAACCACGTTCGGGCGCGCTCTACGTATAAATTTGTATTCTATATTTTAAATTAGAATATATACGCAGACGAGCGCACATATTTCATGTAAAAACGTATCTCGCAAAGTTAGAAAGATGTACTGGCATTTGAGAAATTTGCATATTATGGTGAAACTTCGGAATATATCTTTAAATATTAGCAGAGAAACTTTTGAGCAGCAATATATAATGTGTTTTGCATTAGTTCGGAAAAGTATTAAGTAAGACTTATGTATGCAACGAACTTTCCCGTTCGACTAAAACGAAAATAAAAAGTCCTTCTTTTCTATGTTTTAGCGATATTAGTTCCAACGATTCCGTTTATTTATGTCTTGGTACTTTTACTCTAAATTTTAACGGATATAGGGTAGAATAGACTTTTTTTCCGGAGTTTGGCTATGCGATAATTTATCATTCAAATTTAAAGTATGTGGTAGATGAGGTTGAGGACGTTAAACGAATGAAAAAAGGCGAATATCAAGCGAATTTATTTTCCTTTTTTATTAAAGACTTTGTAGCATTAACACTACATATGCCGGAGATGTTCGTCGGAGAGCGTCGCAGGTTCGAAGTTAGAAAATTACATGAAATAAAAATTAAATTTGAATAAAGAACAAGTATTAAAAGTAATTTTAAAAAACCGACTTCAACATCTTGCAGATGCCATTACTACATCTTAACCAAATTTATATGGGACCATCCCTGAAGTACCCCCTTTCTAACAAAAAAGAATCATTGAAATTGGACACCGTGTTAAAGAATCATCGCTGAACATACATAAAAAAATATATACCAACGATGAGAACCTCCTCTTTTTTTGAAGTCGGTTAAAAATAGTTAAGAATGAAATAAAAAAATTGGTTATAGAGCGCCATTGGATTCTATAGAATATAAAGTTCTAGTCCTAGAATCCAGAGAAGCCTAGGAGTTCAATAAAGTAGGTATCCTCTGTACGAATATGTAATATTTGGATAGGGCTTTACGTTTTTGTCTACATAAAAACTTGATCATTTAACATTTAATGAAAAACAGTTTAAAAAAAAATAAAATGAAAACAGGAAAATGACAGTACGACAAAATACCCGTCAAAACGCCCCCGTCAAAACACCCCCCGTCAAAACGCCCCCCAAAAAAACACCCCCCCTGTCAAAACGCCCCCGATAAAACACCCTGTGAAATTTCGCACGCAACATGAATTTTTGGATAATTTTTTTGGATAATAAAATAGTTTTTCTTAATTCGTCAAAACTCTCCCGACGAAATAGCTTTTTGATACTCTGTAACATATTAATCAAATATAATTTTATTGAATGTGACATGCTATGATCAAATTCGAGATCGGCGCTTTAAAATTGACAACAACGTAATATATAAATAATCCGATTCAAGAATATTTATTGTTGACATTTCTTTTCAATATATTGGGGGTGGGGATGAAATGTCAAAATCGACGATTATATCATTCAATAAACGTCTCAAACAGAACACGGGTCTAGAAATTCATATAAAATGACTTTGAGTTTTGTCACAAGTCAAAAGGGAAAAATATTACTCACATTAGGAGGGTTCTTAAATAAAGTGCAGAATCAAAGTGATAAAAGTATTATATGCAGGTGTCAGAAATATCATGCTGATTGCAAGTGCAAACCAAGGATTCACAACAAAAATATGAAGAAGTCAGATGAGTCATTACATATTATTTACATCTTCATTATGTTTATCTGCAATAGTAAAAATCATGTTCCAATTTAATGTTTCGGTCATGTTTTTAGAGGAACAGTGTTAAAGGAACCCACTCCTCCACATAGTCATGCCCTTGACGAGGTAGCAGTTGAGGTGAAGAAGACTTTGGCAACCTTGAAAAGAAAGGCAGATACTACAGATCGAGCAACGAGTAGCCTCATAACTCTATGTACCAGTAACATCACAGATGCTACCTTAGCGGATCTACCGAGTACTTCAGCTATGAGCAGGATGGTCCAGAGAACGAGATCTACCAAAGAAGATTACTTCACAGATCCGGTAGACTCTCAAAACTATTTTATTATCCAAAAAATTATCCAAAAATTTATGTTGCGGGCGAAATTTCACAGGGTGTTTTGTCGGGGGGTATTTTGTCGGGGGGCGTTTTGACGGGGTATTTTGTTGTAAGTTATTTTGTGCCGGGGCGTTTAGTCGTGGAGCCTATTTTATGTAGGTAGACTCATTTACTTTAAATGTTTATTCAAAAACGTTGTCTGGACTGACTGACTAAAAAAATAACTAAACAAATAAAAAAAAATATTAGGAGCTTATCTGTAAAAGTCTAGAAATGAACAGAGACACCTATGTCGCCCTAGCTTGGCTTCTTGAGACTCAAGTTGGCCAATGAACATCGCGCCAAGAACAGGGACGAGGGACGAGTTGGAACTGGTAGCATATTATACAAGTTTCCTTAGCTTCTCGGAAATCATTACAGCACCAAGGATAGGGACAAGGGACGAATCGGAACTGGTAGCACGGCTAATCAAGTTTCCTCAGCTTCCAAGATGAATTTGGTTTACATCTAATCCGCGAAGATAACCAAAACTGTATTGGATTGGAAAATTGGGAACGTTCTACATTCCACCTCACTTTCAGATATTCACGTCCCTCGATCAACGATGAATCGTTTTTTATAAAAATTTCTTATCTCTGTGACAGGCTTTTGGTTCACCTGCAGTGAATCAGGAAGACTGTGTGGTGAATTCAGAATAGAGGTTGCTCGGGCGCCAATTTTGGTAACACAGTTTGCTCTGCGATCCTGTAGTACACCCAGGGCCGCTGATAGCCAGACCGGGCCCCAGGACAATTCTCCAGATCGGGCCCAGGACAATTCAATAGTCATTTTTTTTTAAAGTTTATAATATTTTAAAAGCCTAAAAATAGCTTTAAAATGTGGCATAAGTAATTGTTTCCAGAAAAAAAATTAATAAACCGAGGTGCTCTGCTGACTTTGTGTCAACAAATTACCCTGTATTATTTAAAAATAGCCTAAAATAGCCTAAAATAGCCTAAAATAGCTTTAAAATAGCCTTAAAATAGCCTTAAAATAGCCTTAAAATAGCCTAAAAATAGCCTAAAAATGTGGTACGTTTATAGAAAGAAGCTTTAAAAAATCGAGGTGCACTGCTGTATTCTTTCGAAGCTAGCAAAACACCCTGTATTTTTAAAAAATTCTGATTTTTTTCGAAAAGTTTTATAATATATCAACCTAAAAATAGCTTAAACATGTGCCATAAGTAGGTAGTTGTTTCTAAAAAAAAAAGCTTTATAAAGCTGAGGTGCTCTGCTGTCTTTGTTCCAACAGAGCATCCTGTATTATTTATGAATAGTAATTTTTAGTAAAATTTTATATTTCAAGAGCCTAGAAATAGCCTAAACATGCGGTGTAGTTTTTTTTTAGGAACAAGCTTTAAAAAGCCGAATTGCTCTGCTTTTGCTAGCAAAGCTCCCCGTATTTTTTAAAAATAAAATTTTATTTTAAGAGCCATAAAATAACCTAAAAATATGGTGTAGTTGTTTTGGAAAAAAAACTTACTGACTTCGTCCGCAACTAGCAGAGAACCTTGATTTTTGCAAAAAAAGAGTAGTTAGTATAACATTTTTGAATAGGCTCTAAAAATAGCCTTAAAATAGTCTTAAAATAGCCTTAAAATAGCCTTAAAATAGCCTTAAAATAGCCTTAAAATAGCCTTAAAATAGCCTTAAAATAGCCTTAAAATAGCCTTAAAATAGCCTAAAAATATGGCATAGGTTTCAACTCAAAATTGCCTAGGTGCTCTCTCTGCTGCCTTCTTTGACATTAAGAAATAGGACAATAACATTTACAAAGTTGCCAAGGATAATCAGGATCAGATTTCTTCCTGCAAGTTTATTATATCCAAGTCTATGATTCATTTCCTGAGAAATCAGAAAAAGCAAACACTGTAAGGGAATTTTAACTAATTGCGGAAAATTAGCGCAAACTATTAATGAAAAATTAGCTTTTAAGCAACTTGTAATCCTTTGATTTTTAGTATATCATCAATAACAATTCTGTTATAATTTCATAAAATATATTGGCTTTTAGATTTCGTGGCTTATTTACTTACCATCGTTTATAATTAACAGCAAAAAAAAAGGTATGGGCTAAAGGAACCTCCCAGCAGAAATGAAGATTCAATTCGGAGGAAAATGTATATCCGAAACGAGTTCCAGGGGAAAAATCCCGTAATCCGGGGTCAAACGTGCGAACGCCCGGATTTTAATATTTTAATAACTGGAAGTGTTACCGCAGATTATAGCCGGGGCAAATAACACTGAATTATTAAAGGATAAATAATTCTTTTAGCGAATATTAAAAGTATTAGAGGCCGGGATGAAGCCGAAGTTATTCCGGTCGAAGAGGTAAATTTCCTGTTTAATATTTATTTCGCATTTATCAAATTGGACCGGATTCAGTATAAATTCGTTTTTAATATTTTAAATTTATAGCATACAGTGAGAGTTCCTAAACGGATAATTTAAAATTGTTAGAGAAAATATTAAAACAGATTGTACAGAGTGTACCAGTGGAAAAGAAAAATTGTTAACCCCACGAACCTCACAATTAAAAAATTGCACGTCACAAGTCACGTGACATGGTCATTTTCCTTTGCAGCTTTATGAACTTGATGTAACTGATGATCTTCGTGGAATTTCAGATATCACACAATATAATAGAAATTAAGTTTTAAACTTCTTCAATCTGACTTTTATTTATTTTATAATATCTGACAATATGACAATTACATATATCAAAATCATAAAAAGTATAATACAGGGTGTTTAGTTAATATTGTGTATCCAACACCCCTTCTCAATATTAAGTAACCATACCTAACATTTCTCTAAACCGTCTTAGCTTTTGTGCTTCTAAAGGCTTTGTTAAAAAGTCTGCTATCAGTACTCAAATATTATAGTTTTCTTTTTCTTCAGATCCTTCACAAACTTATATTTAGTGTCCATATGTTTGGTTTTTCATTTAATTTTTCGAAATCTAGTAATTTTAAACATCCTTAAGTCTTTAAATAATTTGCTTAACCAAAGGGCTTCTTTACATGCTTCACTAAGTGCGATCGTTTCGGCCTCTGTGGAAGAAAGTGCTACGCAGTCTTGTTTTCTGCTTCTCCAGGTGATTATATTTAAAAATATATCCACTATTAAATTTTCTATCCACTTGATTTCCAGCCCAATCAGCATCTACAAATCCATAGAGAATATTTTTATGTATTTTGTCATCTCCTAGTAATAATTTAAGGTCTTTAGTTTCTTTTAAATATTTTAGCATTCGTTTTATTTCTGTCCAGTCTTTTTCTGTAGCTTTATTTATCTTTCTGCTGAGTATCGATACTCTTACTGCAATGTCTGACCTTGAATTGACTGATAGGTACTCCTATGAGTTTTCTATACAGTACAGTCATATATTTTATAGTAACCGGTATCCAATGGAATATTTGAAATTTTGATATCCGTAAGGTTATAATTCTTTAATAACTTATCGATGTCTGATAAATTTGAAATATTCCACCAGGCTCTCTGTCCACTTGTAAACCTAAGAAGTACTTCACTTCTCCTAAAGAGTTAATTTGGAATTCGGAATTTAAATTTCTTGCATATTCTTTAACTGTCTCAGACCTTTTGCATGCTATTAATATATCGTCAACGTAAGTTAAAATATATGCAGTATCGTCTATTCCTTGTCCTTTAATATATGAACATGAATCTGCTTCGCCCCTTCTGAATCCTAAATTTTGCAAAACTTTATTCAAAAGAGTGTTCCAAATCCGTGCTGCCTGTTTAAGATCATATATGCTTTTATTTACAGACTAAATATGTTTCCTCTTCTTTAATAAAACCTTTTGGTTGGGCCATGTAGATTTCTTCATTAAGATCGCCATTCAGGAATGCAGTTTTTACATCAAAGTGATGTACTAATAAATTGTTATATCCTGCCAAAAAAAAAAAGAAATGTTCTTATTGTTGTTTGTTTAACAACGGTTGCAAATACTTCTTCATCTTCCTGACCATATTTTTGGGAGTATCCTTTTGCTACAATCCTTGCTTTATAACGATCAACTTGTCCAAAATTGTTTCTTTTTGGTTTAAATACCCATTTACATCCTATAAGGTTTTTATTTTCTGGCAAAGCACATAAGGTCCACGTTTTCTTATATTTCATTGGATCCATTTTCTCTTTCATAGCCTTTTCCCAATTATGTCTATCCTTTCTTCGTATAATTCTCTCTCATCTGCAATATTTGTTTGATAACTGCACTGTCCATATCTTACAGGTGGTATTCCTTTGTTTTCTCCTGCAGACCTTCGTATTTCTTCATTTTTACCTTCGTCGGGTTTTTCGGTGTCTATATACTTATGTTTTAAAATTCTTGACTCTTTGTTTTCATCATTACTCGTAAATTTAAACTCAACTTCATGTTCTACACCATTTCATTTTTCTGATTAATAAATATGCTCTCTTCGTGCTCATTTTCTATAAACTTTACATCTCTACTTGTGGGTATTTTATTTGTCTCTTTATTTAACATAATATAAGCTTTGGAATTTTCGTCGTATTCTATAAGAATATATTTTTTAGCTTTATCATCCGGTTTAGTTATCTTTTGCTTAGGTACAAAGGCATACGCTTAAAATCCAAAAGTTCTTATATGACTTAATGGAGGGTCTTTTTAAGGTATGTTATTACCGTTACCTTTCGTCGGAAGCCTTTATTAAAGATAGTTTGCCATTACTATTGCTTCACCCCAAAAATGTTTTTCAAGATTTGCATCTAGTAACATGCAACGTGCCATTTCTTGAAAAGAACGATTTTTCGTTATTCAAAAAATTTCGAATATCATGGTTCCAAAATTCACCATCTCTGTCACATTGTAAGATGTTGGGCTTCTTAGCAAATTGATTTTCACATCTTCGAATATAATTTTTTATATTTTGAAATGCTTTATTCTTCTTCTGTAACAAAA